GTTATACGGGACCACCCATCTATTATCCAGGATGTTGCCTCGTACATTCACATTAATTCCACTATTTCTCCGTCGATATAATGAATATGAGTCCTCAGCCTGCATCGTCTTGTCATGAACTGTTTGGGATATCTGAAACGACACTTTTTCGGCTCACCTTGCATACAAGGACTGGACGGTCGTAAATAACCGCAAGGACCATGCATCATGTGTTGCACGACCAGTTTGTGCATTTGGGGATACCTACTTGGGTCCAGAATTTCAGCACAAACACTCTTGTCCTAATGATCTGGATTGGTCATTTTGTGTTCGGGTGTCATTATCAGAAGAAAATGGGCATGCGGCAAACCACGCTTTTGAAACTCGATGACATAAACATATGCCCCGACTTTACCGAGGATGTGCTTTTTGAAGAGTTGGTCTTTCATATCCTCTAGTTTCGCACGAAAAACTCTTGCAACAAGGTCTGGCCGATCGGGTGCGATCTGACCCGGCAACAGCTCTCTAAGGATTTCAGGCCACTTCGAATTGCACGTCATTTTAAGGAATATATCGGGCTTCGCATCATCTTGCACTAAAGTCATGGCATCAAGAAATCATCACAGCATGTCACGTGGTCCTCCAATGAAACTTGCAGGCAACACAATCCGTTGTCCGATTCTACTTGGCATCACCTCATCGGCATTAACACAATCCACAACACCTTGGTATAAATCTGCTCTTATTTTGGCTTGGTTTTTCTGGCAAAAATCTAAACGGGAAGTCTCAATCTTGATGTAGATATCTACCATGAACTGTTGTAAACAACCTTCCCCCCAATAGAAGCACATTGTCGTTTGAATGAATCTGGAACTTATAACAATAGTATTCCCGCATCGTCACAGTATTCTTGTTGCCTCTCACATCAACCTCTGCTTAGTGTGTATTTTATGAAATAAATATAAAATGATGACATGTATGTTTAAGCATATATTTGTTACCTTAATTAAAACGTAAATATTGCAACATGGTATGTACCTTCTAAATCTTCCTCCATGTTTTCATCATCATTAACACTTTGATTCATGCACACTTCATGTCTAGGTATATTAGAATGCCATCCARGTTCACCRTTGGGAAAGAACAAARGATAGGACAACGGGTCATAACAACTGAAGTAATATTGAATATTTTGGCTATAATTAGACCTCCCATACACAACAATACTTCTCTTGTATGCAGTTATGTTGTCGTTGCCTTCAACCCAAATACCAGCAACCTAACATAATTATAGACCTCAATTGATTTAGTGTATGTATCTAATTATATTTCAAAAAGGATAAATCAAATACCTATATTCAAATCTCTGATGTGGTCGGTCGGTTGTACACCCTTTGGTCAAGTTCCATTGAAGCATTCAAAGTGACTCTGTAGCTATCGAGTGGTCCGAGCTCACCAAGGCTTCGAAATGTTCTCACATACGGGTTCATAGAAAGAAMACGAGTCAAAATTTCAACGACTTTTCTATCAAGATTTGGCCACTGGAGTCTATGCGATAACTCTGTYTCTGAATCATAAAAGTACAACTGTAAGTACCTGGGTTGTCCATCCCTCGGCACTAACTGATCAATTTTATGATATACAGCTCCATGCGCACGAAATGTATATACTCCGGATGTCATGTTCGCCATTGAACTATCCAAGTTTACACCCATTGACGTGAACGAAAAGTTCGTATTATATACCCGTAAGTTGTGCCTAAACATTTCGCCTAATTCAGATTGCGATGAGAAAATACTGTATAACTCCTCATAAATGGGTGAGTATGCTAACTTCGTTTTCCCTTTCATGCAACAAAAGGAAGGGAATTCAAATTTAAACCATTTTGCTCCACAAAATTCACATGCATTTTGTTCCTTCAAGACACGATGTTTTCTAGAAATACCATTGTAAACAAAATCATACGGATCCCCCCGGAGGATGTCATGTTGGCTCGAAGTATTGACATCAGCCCTAATACAACCTCCTACATGATAAGATATTTTAGTGTTTACAATAGTAATTAATGATTTTTTTCTCTAGTGGATGTGAAGTTTAAAAGTCACTTTAACTAACCTTTGAATGCTTCATTGGTAACTTCATCAAAAAGAGGTAGAAGTATATCACGGTTACTCCGAATGCCTATGTAAGAAAGAGAATGTAATTTAAATGAGATTTTAATTACTAAAATTGATAAAAGAATTAAAAAAAAGGAAATGCACGATTTTACCCTTGAAG